AACATTTGTTGGGAACTCCAAGTTCAGACTATCCCCCCCCCCCCCCCCACACACACACAAATCTAGATGTTCCAGCTTGGAGGTGGGATTAGGCATGAGATATATATTTGAATTTGCTAATTGGGAGAATTTATCTTAATTTCCTCATTCAGTTAACATTTCTCTGTTCTACAGTGATATGCATGTATTTATGTTTTTATTTTCCTGAAATTGTTGTCTTGTAGATGAAAATTTGATCAGACAACAGGTCTGCTATGTACATAGAATCAATATATACTTAGTGCGATGTTCATTTTCCTCCTCTTGGATGACAGAATCTTCTCCAGGTAGCTTATAAAGAAAGAAGCAAACCAGCAATAAAATCTAATCAAAATCCAGTTACTCAGGTTGGGAGTTGACATTTCAAAACTGATAGTGAGTTGCGTTCCTCTAGTGCTACAATGAAAGCAGTGATTTATTTTTTATCCCCTGGGTTATTTTCCAAGTTAGAAATAATGTTTAAAATATTCCAGTATCTCAAGGTAGAGTTACGTGACTGCATATATGTCACTTGAAGCTAGAAAATACTTCATCTACATTCAAGTTAGTTTTTAAAATTGTTTTAAGATATAAATGTTTTAAAAGTTAAAGATTGAATGGGGAAGAAAGCCTGACAATAACGAAGTCAAATATCTACTGTCACATTGCTACTGATGGGTACCACACAGGAAGTTCCAGATTTAAGCAGAAGTCTATGATCCCAGTCAAGAATGTACAACATTTTTCTTTTTATCTTCTTACTTTCTTTCAGTTTGTATTAGTGTTTACTATTGCAATTATAATGTTTAATAAAATTATTTTAAAAAAAGAATGTACAACTTTTCCTGCTGATAATAGCTCAAGTAGAGAAAGTTTCAACCATTTGGTAGTGACTATTCAACAATCCCAAAGTGGTCCAAGAAAGAACATGTGTTTCTCACCCACCCCACTCACTTCCTGTATTGTCTAAGTGGCACTGTTTTTATGCTAAGCAAGATCTTTCTTCACCTATTATCAAACCTCATTCAATTCTGAAAATTGTTCTGTAGTGGGACGAGAAATAACAAATCATAGCAACTGCACTTGCTAGGCAATTCAGTTATGAGGGAGGTTCACTGATGTAACTGAAAATACACTTTCATAAATTCTGCTTCTCTGCTACGTAAACCTTGAAAAAACTGAGAGAAACCTAATTCACCCATCATGGTTTTACAAAATGAGAGAAAATTCTGTGAAGAATCCCAGTTTCAAAAATGAAAGGAGGATATTGGGAATGCTAATTTATTTACAACTGGAGGAGAATGACAGAATTGTATATACATCCTAGAAACTTTGACCAAATTTCATATTTGGTTTGCAGTATAGCAAATTCTCTAGAATCCTAAAGCATGGCTTGGATGGAGGGTTGAGAAAGAAAAGCAAGTGGAATAACCTCAAAGTCCCCTAAACAGAATCAGAATCCATTTATTGGAGATAGGCTTATAATCTCAAGAAATCTACTATTTTTCCCTCTGTGTTCTACTTCTAATGTTTGATGAAGTGTTTGAATGCTACACAAAAAGGGTTTTTCATGATATACTGATCAGGAAATTCAAATTCTTCATCAAACATTAAAATTAGACTGTAGAGGAAAAAATGCTTATTCCTACAGGTGAATCAGCAATATAGATATTTATTTTATTTTCCACTTTAAATGAGACAATAATTATAGTCGCTGAGGTGCCAGAAGCTCATAAGTTGCATTGTGGCCTTCTTAAACAGGGTGTTTTCTCCATTTGCAGCATGATTATGAAATTCTACCAGCATGTCCTTTCCATAGAAATGAGTAACTTCCTGAATACAATGAAATGAATAACCAAAAGATTAATTTCATGAAGATAATTGAACTGGAGCTAAAAGTGTTGTTTCCTTCTGAAACAGAAGCATTGTGAAATACTTTAATGTTATGATTCCAATTATAATCTCAGGAAGAAAAGAGTTCCTAATGTGCAACCACTTCTATGTATAGTACATAGAAACAAGATGTCCTGTGAGGCTGCAAAGAAATTGTTTCATCAAAAGTTACAATTTGTACTGGTGTATGTATCTATTTCTTACTAAAGTTGAGGTTTCCCAGCCTATAAAGCAAGGAACAATGATAACCCCTATAAACCTTGGTTATTAATATTCTCCCAAATTTGAAAATGAATGGCTTTTTTGTCCCAGATTTCAGAATACAAACTGGAATACAAAAGTGATTCATTTATTTGGATTCCTGCAGAGATCATCTGTGCCCAAAGTAAAATCTCGATCCAGCCACATTTTATATGATGGTCATCCAAAGCATCACATGACAACATAATGGATGGCAGGTGGGAGAACATTATATGCTTAATTGTAAATTTGAATAGAAAAATGCAATAATTAACTCTGGTTAATTAAGCAAATGTCAGCTCAAGATGATCATATTTATCATGTCTAAAGATTAAAGTTCAGTCTGCATCAGTAATGCAATATATACAATCCTTACTAGCAGTAAGCTGTTGAGAGAGAGAGAGAGAGAGAGAGAGAGAGAGAGAGAGAGAGAGAGAGAGAGAGAGA